TTATGTATTGTAGGTATTATAATGAGGAAAGGAAAGAAACCTGGGCTCACAATGCATACCAGGCTTAGAGCGAGAGCACACGCTCTACGTAGTAAAGAAAGGTAGTAGTGTTTCTATGAATAAAACATAACATCACGACAATAGAGTAAAACTTTGCTCCTTAAAACCTGAGTTTACAGAGTTCTTCCTTCTGCCCTCAGTTTTCGAGGACCGAAAAGTTGAACATCTTTGTTTTGACTTGATACATTTTACAACCTTCAGAATATTAGAAAAATTCCACTGACCAGCTGCCATTCGAACCATTACACTTTGTTTTATCACTTCCCTTTTTACACCCCTTATTTAACTTATGTACATGATGTTAACACTTGTGATACTGTAACCCTGATCCGAAAGGCATCAGAAACAACTCTAATCTTTCATGACTGGAACAAGCTTTTATTTTGAGAAAGTGTCTGCTTTTAATAATTTTCTTTTCACAGGCTGCTACTTCATGTTATACTATTTTATGACTTGAGTGAAGTAGTCTTATTGAGGTAATAAAACACTGGGCTTGATTCATTTCTTGATGAGATGAAGCACTTCACACCAGAGGGAGTGTGAGTCATTCCCTCTGTTTCGGGAGGAGAGGAGTCAGTAGAGAAGGACAAAGAGGAGAGATGAGGAGAGGAGACAAAAGGGGGGAGATGAGGAGAGGCTGAGTTGGGCTTTTAAATTCAGCAGGAAGCTATCAAATATAATTTAACCAATAAATGTAATGGCACTGACACATTTTTCAAAGTTGGTGTCTGACAAGCTTGAAAGAAGAATAAAGAAAAATGTCTTCAACTGGATGAATGGAATGGAGTGGGTGTTCAAATCTTAGTGAGCTACTTTTACAGACAGATTTGTTACTTATTTGGTTACCTTGACAGATTGAAGTTGTTATGCTGTTAGCAAAGGGAGGTTTTATTAAAACATTCTGATTACTAATGACAAGTTTAAATGTAAGCAAAACAAGATACCGACAAAAATGTGTGATCAGTCTGGGATTTGAAGGTAAACTGCTTCCAGCGTGTGATTTCAACAGGAAACTTTGCAGTAGTATGAAGGGGACAAATGGAGGTGTTCAAGCACATCACTCCTGAACTAATGGCTTCTAAACAGCTCATCACAGCCAAACTGATAACAGTGACAGACGGGAAGATGGTATTTTGTTCAAAACTGACTGCTCATACCTTGATCAACAATATTGAAAACAAGATGTATTCATGGTAGTTCCTTCAAATAAAAACCTTTAAGCTATTCAAAAAGTACAGCTTTTACCGCAGTTTAATGGTGTCATGCACCCATAGCAGGGGTTCATTTTTTTTCTGTTGTTATGTTCCTCAAAGAAGCAGAAAAGTCAAGCAGAGTGATCAAAAGCCCAAGCCCCTCAGTGTTAAGCGGAGGTGTTGAGTAATGTCGGGAGGATCTGTCAAAGAGGCCTCTGACAATTTACTGGAAGAGCTCAAGGACATGTTCCTACAATACATTTGATGAAAATATGCAATAAAATGAATACAATAAAACCCCGGTGCCATGGGCATTGGGTGGCAGACGAGGCTGTCACAAATATCATGGATCTTTAGCAGAATTAATAGCAGCAAAATGAATAGCAGCAGTTTGAGACCAGAGAGGTTTTGGGTGTCAGCTCTACCATCCTGAATGACAACGTTTTACATTGTTATAGCCAAATATAGCAAGTGCTAAGAAGCCAGTGGAGCCCCATAATGTTTGATTTTCAGCATGAGTGCAGTCAAAGCAGATAATAGACATGAAAGAGGGCTCAAAATATTAAATAAAAGAGTACTGAGTGCGGGGTAAAAGGGAAATAGAAATGAACTGCAATTAGCTGTTAGAATGCTGCTAATGCTCTTGGAGCTCCTTCCTAACTTCAAGGTTCAAGGTTCAAGGCTTTTATTAGTCATACGTACATAGCTGTAGTGATGACGATGAAAATCTTAGGTCACAGGCTCCTCTAACAGTGCAACACAATAACACAGAAAAACAGAAAAAATAGTGAAATACAATTAAATAACTCAAATAATTTAACTAAATAATTTAAATTGGAGGAATCTTATTGGATTATTTGCCAATAATAACTTTAGCTCCCATTAAACAATTCATTTGACTTTGCTAATTTCTCAATTTGGGAGTCAAAATTATAAGTTTGACGGGAGGAAATTGATTAATTGATTTTTTCCCAACCTATATGTTATGTAAGCTTTAAGCATTCTTGGCAAAACCAAATTATAAGAGAAAAGTTCCGAAAAGAATAGTAATCTCAGTTCAGAGCATAGTCATTTGGTCCATCTCTGTCAAACGGCCGGCTGAGAGCTGGTGTAGTTACATAAGCTCATTACAACACACACGCACACACACGCACACACACACACACGCACACGCACACGCACACACACACACACACACACACACACACACACACAGGAACAACACTATATTGCAGTTTGCTGCCTGCAGTCCATCATTAACCTTGATTGTATTTCCACTGTGACCCGACTCCTGCCTCTCTGTCTCTCAGGCTGCATCAGGTTAACTGTCAATACACAGTACTGTGTACTTATGGGATTTAAAAGCTAAAAGTCGGACCAGTTATTTATGTTTTTTCTATGTTTTTGCTCTTGAATCCAGGATAATAATGTTGTTTCCCATGATTTGTGAATAACCCCCCTGAAGAATCTCACGGGGGGTTAAACAACTGATCAGATGTTCAAACACCAGGAAATATCTTTTTAATAGGGAAGTCTACAGGATACATGTCTCTTATCAAAAACATTTTTTTGAAAAGAATCCCTAAAAGACATTTCAAATCATACAGTTACCCTCTTTAAATAACATGCAGACCTGTAGTATTTGACTTAAGTTTGAGCTTCCTTTCTTAAGAAAGAGATTTCTCTTGGTGTTTGAAAGCTAAATGTCTGCCACATAGCAGCAAAGATGAATACACTTTGAATTTATTGTATTTTAATAAGCAATTAAATGGTTTGAGAACAAATTCTAATTTCTGCTTGATACATTTTAAACCCCTAAGTCTGTGTCACAGTCAAGAAATTATTTAAATATCAAGTGGTATTTCATTGTTAATAAGCATAAATAACAAATGTTTGAATCCTTGTTCTGTCTGAAAAATGTCTTAGGGCAACTATATTTTAATGTCCCTTGACTTGAATGGATAGGTGTGTAACAGGAATGTATTCATGAGTGCGGTAAAAAGCTGCACATCACAATACTTAATCATTTTTAAGTTTTGACACTCAACCAACAATAATTATAATATTGAATTAGATGTGAAACAAGAACACAACAGGAAAAGGTTTCAGAACAAATGCCACCAGGGCTGTGATTGGCAAATGTGAACAAAGCTGCATGGGAGATGTGACACCTTGAGCTGGAGAGCCTGCATGGATCACTTGGCCACTTTGCTTTGGAAAACATACCAAATAGTGTATCATTCATTTCATTTGAAGTGTACTTCCAACTGTGACCGCCCCTGTAACCAGTGTGCAATCCTGCCTTTGAGAACGTGCTATTGGTTTTTAGATGGGATTTCAAACCTCGGATGAACTAATGCAATGAGGTATAATATTCACACATTGCCCCGGGCCAAAGCATGTGTAAATATTTACATTACATGTATACTGTATGTGCACAAAGATGGACAACTAGTGTTTTATGTATAGATTATAATACAAAAAGTAGATGTCAAATACTTTCTTTTTATTTTCAATTAAATACTTACAGCCCCTGATTTATATCCCGAGTTGCACAAGCTACTTTCTTGATTCAATTTCAATTTGAAATGGTGTGTGTGTGTGTGTGGTGTGTGTGTGTGGTGTGTTGTGTGTGTGTGTGTGTGTGTGTTGTGTGTGTGTGTGTGTGTGTGTGTGTGTGTGTGTGTGTGTGTGTGTGTGTGTGTGTGTGTGTGTGTGTGTGTGTGTGTGTGTGTGTGTGTTGTGTGTGTTGTGTTTGTTTGTGTATAAACAGATGTTAATTAGGGCAGGACTGGCAGCTGCACAAGTCAGCCAAGAGATGCTGCAGTTTTGCTGTTTTTCTCATGACTTAAATGAACCCCACCTTTCACTTCCAAAACAAAAGTAAAAGACTAATATTGAATTGCATTACCCAAGTTCAGTATATTGACCCTTGCTTAATGCATATGAGCAAATGCACGGATGCGTAAAATGAGATGGAGCACCAGACTAATCTGCTTCAACGTTGATTCTTACCTTGCTTCACCAGAGATATGCAAGGTAATGCTTTGAAGCAGAACTATGCAATTAGACATGGGTTTTGTCAACTCTTTCTACTCAGACTGATTTAGATGTTTTTGGTTTTTTTGGCCTTAAGATGAAAAGCTGATGAAACAAGCCCCAACCCAGTAAGGTAAACATAGATTATTGATTTCAGCAAAATCTATAGTTGCTAAATGCAAAGGTGGGCAACTCATACCTGTGGGCTAAATCCAATTCAGACACAAATTACAAGTCCAAAGGTGTAGAGACTGATTTGGTAAAGGTAAATACTTAACAGCCTTTACATTAAACACATCAAGACCTATTTGTTTTAAAGGGATCTAAAATGTTATTTTTCCCTTTAGTGTGGCAGGGTTGAGGTCTCAAAATGTTACTTTGAGTCGGCATGTGTTTCTGCCCATATTTAAGTTAACAAATGAGGCGGGACGGACAGCAGGGCAAGAGGACGTGTCAACTGTCAAGTAGCTGTCAGGTTATGTAAATGCATGCGAAGTCAGGAACACAGTGAGGACACCAGGCTCAGGGAGCTGGAAAAAAATATGCGTCACCGTTCAAAATCAATCTCCATCGATTCCCTGCAGCGACATGATCTTCCAATAGCCACTGAGTGTCAGAAGCACAGCCACATCCACAAACCCCTCACAAAGAAACAACAAAGATGAACAAAAATACATACATGTTTATTTGACAAGAAGGGCACATTTTTTTTGTACAAACTGTAAACTAAATACTGTAATTATTTTTGAGAGTTATAATCTTTGACATCACGTTCATGAATGAACACCAGAAACATTTTAGTTAATAAATAAATATATAAACAGTCAGTGACTGCTGCATCTTACTGTAAATTATAACCCCACACTGAAAAAGAAAACATACAGCATGTAAGTTTGCTACACGTTAAGGATTTTTGAAGATAAAAAGCACTTGTGTTCATCACGACTACATTTTGAACATCATTGTACAATACTCTATCCTGCACGCCCCAACGCTAAATACTGCAATTTAATTTTGTACATGAAGCTTTGTCACTGAATTGATGTTGAGGTAGGGACTCCGTCATTATCCTAGACAGTTTGAGTAAGCTGAAATATCATTATCACACTCCCATGGCTTGGGAGTGTTGTTCGCCCTACATCTCATGCGTCCCTTGTCCCGCCTTTGGAGGGAGAGGAGGAGGGATTCTGCACCGTCAGATTTGCTTAAGTTGTCATACATCATGTAACTACACTGATTGAGAGACCGTGTACTGTCATCTTGACTCCCGAAAGCAACATGTAGGGCAGCCTGGAGGAATGCTCGGGATCAAACAAAACATTTTGCTTGTGGGAATGTTGCCCGACATAGCCTCTTCCACAAAATCAAAGCAGTGGCATCTGGAAAGATGACTCACCAAGTTGACAAGGTGATGGCTCAGGAGGGGGTTTACATGGAGTCAAAATACATCAGAGATAATTTGCCCTCACAGCTGGAGGTATGTTTCTATAAATGTGTACATACAGCATATACGAAAAACATCTGGTAAACCTGTAAATGCCAATGATGTCACAACAAATGGCAGATTAATCTCTTTAAGAATACCCACATTTCAGCTTAAACACTGGTTAAATCACAGCATAAGCTACATTACAGCCACATTCAGCCAACATTTGAATTTTGGCAAAAGCAATAATATAATAATAACTATAATAATAACAACATGGCTAGTTGGGGCTTTGATTCAGAGCTTTGACTCAAACTACAGAAGGGAAACAGTCGGCCCTGTCCGTTTAATAATAAATTCAATCTGTGTTAACATAGGGAGTGCTCATCAAGTCGACAGAGGCAGCCAAGAGAAAAGAAAAAGAGATGGAAGAAAAGGAGGGTAGAGGAGGTGGAGTGGGAACCAAATCTTCTCCAAGGCATTTCCCCTTTATGTCCAATGTCCAGTCAGATTATGTGCAGTTCATGTTTTAACGCTTGTTTGAGCTGGCTTGTGTTTGGAAATAATTAGGGAGTAAATTAAGAGGAATTGAGGAAGAGAAAAAGGAAAGGTCACTGAGCTGATATGGTTGCGAGTTTCTAAAAGGCATGGGAGTAAAGGGGAACGTTTAAGTATATAGTGGCACTTGTTATAGACATTTAAATCACTTGGGAATTTAAATTAATTCTTATTCATTCTTATTCTTAATAAAACATCTTTAATCCAAATTCAACTTCATAAATGTTTTAAAGTGATGGAACAGCAGCTGTAGCAGTGGAAGAGGACAGGGAGGCAGAGAGGACAATGAGTTGCTTTTGTGCAACAAGCCAAGTCACATATTGAGCTAAAAGCTTTCCCCCCATTTGTTGCCATCTAGATACAGTAGCATTGGATTTTCCAGAGCAGGAAAATCAAATGCTTCATTCAAGACCAATTGCTTTCTATTGGATCTGCTCTGCCTTTCTCTGATGTGAAACTGTTTCACGCCTTCATCGCCACACACAGCATACAATGTCCGAAAGCATGCTGTTGAGCACTCTTTCCCCAGCAACACTGAATACAACTTAAACCTAGAAGTAAAGGCTTATAATGTGTGCCACAGATACATTAACATTTATTTAAACTCTGACAGAGAGAGAGTGGGTAATCTACCCATAAAACAAGGTTATGAGCATGTGTTTTTCATACTGCTTTTCCACCATGTTTGCCACGCTCTTCATGTACTTGTATAATGTAATGCTCTCTGTCATGTGTTTGACTGTAATTGGTAAACATGCATAACATTTATAGCATTGCTATGTTTTGAAACAACAATAGCACTATGTTTTACCAATTAAAACTTGAGTTCATAAGCTTAAACTTAACTTAATCTTGTTTGAGGTTAATAATAGCAAATATTTGCAAACAACAGCTTCATTTAGTTGTATGATGTAATTTGCAAAGTCGTACCCTGTGTTTAATCACATATTGTCAACTGCAGCCTCACTGGCCAATGTAAAGCCGATGTTACATAGAAGTGTTAACTACCTTTAATCTGAAACAACCTATTTGGAGATTCATTTTTTGTAAACTAACTATAAATAACTCAGTGAAAAGGATTGTAGCTTAGCAAAAACATGACCCTTTTAAAAGGTGTTGGTCACTGTTAATAATATATTTCATATTTGGTATAAAATCATTTAATCATTTGGACTAACTTATTACTGCCTTTTGGACAGGACCTTACTTTGACTCTATCACAACTCCAGTTGTAATTGTATACATAGGTATAAAGGCTACAATGCCAAATGGAATGACTGGAAGAGGAATGGGAATACAAATATGTTCCATATCTTGCAGGTAATGGTGGTTTGACTTGGACTTCACCCATGCAAACAGAGCAACTGTCACACTGCATGCTCTCCTTCGCCACTACTGCACAGCATGGCTCCCAGCATGAGCAATTTACAAAATCAGATATCTGCAAGTTTGAAAAAGGTCACCAGGTGTCACTTGCATTACAGATGAGTGAACTCTGCTGCTGCTGCTGCTGCTGCTGCTGCTGCTGCTGCTGCCTCCTCTGTCCAAGTGTGGGATTTTGAGTTTATCGATCTCCATTCTTCTGACAGAATTAGCCATGAGATTGATGGATAGAAAAACCAATACAGCTTTAAGTGGGCATAGTAAAGATATAAAATGGAGGGCTGCCAGAGAAGAAGGTCAAGTCAAATTCAGATGGACAAACATAAATGGAAAGTAGAGTGCAGGTGTAAAGGACTATGCTGACAGAGGAAAAAGGAGGTTGACAATGCTTTAGAAATAAGGGTGGTTTAAGCGAGGAAGGGACTGAGGAAAAGGGGAGCAAGTCAAAGTAAAGAAGAGAAGACTGTAGGGCCCTAGAGAGGGTTTGCTGAAGAGTAGCTGGGAGGGGAGACAGAGCTAATGATAACATGGAGTGAGAATAAACTGGAGGGAACTTCAGGAGAGCCAGTCTGATCCGTCCCAGGTGGGCATGAATGAGAAAATATAAGAATAGGGTACAAGGAAGGAAGGTAGACAAAGAAAGATACTTTCTACTCTTTAGAAACTGCAAGGTAACAATAGGTTGGGAGGTGTACAAATTAAATATTTAGAAATACAGTATATGACAACTTGGCTTAAGGTTTTGAACTCCATTACCTGCCCCCTTACAATGAAACGTAATATTGTTACTTTGGTGTCTGAAGCAGTTTTAACTCAAATAAATTACCACGGTAATACAGTTGTTTTGAATTTGCAATAAAAATGTCAATAGAATATAAACGTACTGAAGACAAATAACTGTCATGAACAACTAAGCATACTGAACCAAAAGCAATTCCCAATTTACCAATTTATCTTTTTCATGAAACAAATACAATGCACCTACCTACAAGACATTTTGCTAACAGTTACTACATCTTCCTCCACTGTATACACTGTGTTTAAGTCCTTCCAAGGTTGTGTCAGTACTGTACAGAATACACATGCAGATGTATACATCTTTGCAAATGTAACACAACAATGTATACATGTGCACTTAGCTAGTGTTCTGCTTTAATATTCACATTATCAACATTTATCATCAAATGTCTCAATTTCATCAATAAATGCTGAGCGTATTTTGCAGATAGTTATATCCAGGATAAAGTGCCTTTACTTTAAAACATTCTGTAGGTTTTTCAATGTAGGTTTTTGTTGACAGTCTTAAGGTCCTGTATATCCCATTCACTGTTTCTCTGCCATGCATGTTCTTAAAGACATAGATTGTGCTGTCCTCCTGGGTAAGCTTTTCTTCCCTTTGTGCGTACATACATGCCGCGGTGTACTTTGATACATCTTTGCCTTTGCTCAACATGAAGCGGTTTTATGCTGTCCGTTCTGTGTTATGGGATTGATTTTCTCCAGTGTGACCTCAGTATCGCTGTCTAAATTCCCAGAGATGGCTGGGGAAAGTTTCTCCAGAGCGTTGTTTACCATGCCCACCTCGATCTCCCCTCCACATCCATCCTTCTTTTGTAACTCCTCGTCCTGACACAGGATGCTGTGGGGGATCACATAGTTAGCTGAATGGTTGCCCTCCTTAGGGATGTGACTCTTGGGCTGATACTGACAGTTGGGGTTTGTGTTAGGGGCTCCCATGTTGTTGTTAATACTGACGATTTCAATGGCGTTGCTGCCCGGGCAGAGCCGGTGGCAGCCCAAGAGGATGGAGAAGGCCTTGCGGAAGTCGGCGTTGAAGGCATAGATGATGGGGTTTAGCGAGGAGTTCGCCCAGCCAAACCACACAAACACATCAAAGGTGGTCGAGCTGATGCAGAGGAAGTCCGTGGCACTGTCCGGCACGTCGGGCTCACAAAACGGCACCATGCAGTTAAGGATGAAGAAGGGCAGCCAGCAGCAAACAAACACTCCCATGATGACTGAGAGCGTCTTTAAGACTTTGGTTTCTCGTTTGAACGACATTTTGAACGAGCTTTCAGTCTCTATGCTCGAACTATTCCCCATGCTGCTGTGGCGATTTTTGGCACTCTCTGCTGCCCGCTCCAGTGCAGATATTCTCCGTATCTGTATCTGAGCGATGCGGTAGATCCGGGTGTAAGTGACTATCATAATAGCCACAGGGATGTAGAAGCTGATAAGGGAGGAGGAGATGGCGTAGGTCCTGTTAAGGCTGGAGTCGCAATTGTCAGGGGGCAGATCGTCAGGGTATGTTCCATTTAGCTCTGCGTAGCTGGTGGTCTGAGCTTTGTGCCAGTTAAGCTGAACAGGAATGAAGGAGATGAGGACTGACAGTGTCCACGCCACACTGATCATCAGACATGCCACTTTAGGGGTCATCTTGCGTTCATAGCGAAACGGGCTTGAGATGGCCCAATACCGATCTACACTGATCACACACAGGTTCAAGATGGAGGCAGTGGAGCACATGATGTCAAACGCGACCCAAACGTTGCAGAACGCGCCAAACGGCCAAAACCCAACAATCTCAGTTGCCGCCTTCCATGGCATAACCAGGATAGCTACCAGGAGGTCAGAGATGGCCAGGGAGATGACAAAGAAGTTGGTGACCTTCGACCTCAGGTGTCGGAACTTGGTGACGGCAGCGCACACGAGCGTGTTGCCTAGCAGCGTGGTTAGGATGAGGAGGAAGAGGAAGCATCCCGTCAGCACACGCTTGGACGAGTGTCTCTCTGGTAGCAGCTGCTTTCCATCTTGAACCGTTGAGAAATTCAGATCCATTGTTTATGTTACACTGCTAATAGAGAGATAGGGGGTGGGTGAGGGGGGTGTCAACAGTCACCCCATCACATCCCCAGCCTGCAGCAGCTGTGCCTCTCTGGGGAGGAATTTTAGACAGATGGCGTAGCTGGTGGAGAGGTCAATTGTCTCGGCACCAGCTCTCCCACAGACTGGGTAATCCATAGGTTCCTTGTTTCAAACACCATCCTTGCAAGAGAATTGCTATAAATATTTCAAAAAGATCTCTTTGAAAATTTGCCTCCCGAAAATACCTGGTTCATAAATTCCTGCAGCAGAAGCACAGGCAGCAGACATTCTAGTTTTAAGAGGAGTGAAATTATTCCAGCTGTTGTTTGCAGTTATTTCTCCAATCAGCACTGTAAAAAAAAAAGAGATTTAAAGTGAACTCCTTGTTCGTTTTTCTCCACTCTATGGATGCCTCAGCTGTCAAGTGAAAGTTTCACAGTATATGGTTGCCGAGCTGTTGAGTAAACAGAGGCTTGGTCAATCATTAGCCTTATATACCAACTCATCAATAAGTTATATTGATGGTTTTCGCGCTTCGTTTATCTGATTTGTTCAATGATTCTCTTGGCGTGTCCGTGTGATTATATTGGTGCCTGTATCGACGCTGATTCACCCCAGCTACTAGATGTTTTGTTGTATTTATTTATATCTTTGAATGCAGCTCCCTGTGAGTAAATGGAATTGTAAGTGGTGATAGAATTAGGCGTTCAAAAGTCTTAACAATCCAATTTGATATCACGGAGATATACATTAAAGTATAAATCATTTGCAGGAAATCATCTCAGCTCTTTTTAAACTGACACGTCGCTCTAATCCAGATGCGAGGTCATTTATTTCTCTTTTGGTTTAGTTCGCGTGCACAGCACAACGACCGCTCAGCTTTCAAAAACATTCAAGAGATATATTGGACACCAACCTAAAGTATCTCTGGCAGCGCATTCCCTGGGTTGACGTCTTAAAAACAGAGTTTATTTACTTTTTTCGTATATATTTCGGGAGCGTGCGCTTGGCTCTGTGCAGGCAGTCCAGATTCCGCAGCACCGTCTTGGATCAACTGGAAAAATTAATTAATCCAAAATCAACATGAAAAAAAACTTGTTCCCGCTAAATCCACCGTTTGTCACCATCCATCCAACTTGTATCTTGGTAACAAGTGAAGGAGAAGGAAAGCACCGTCTCTGCGCACTCCTCCATGGGGAAGTCAGTCACTCTTCCCTGTTGCGATGGTCCTCAGGTGTTTTTTTCTTTCTTCAAAGTCCTTTTTTAGAGCCTTCCATTGCTGTGCAAAATTCAGTTACCCCTGTGATGTGTTTGCGGTCTGACTGGCCGGCGGAGAGTGATGGGAATTACTCCGATCTCTCCAAGACACGTTTTCACGCGCGCTCCTCTCTCTCCGCTCAGCTGCTGCTGTGCTCCACGGTCGGTGCCACAACTGCTCCATCCATCCAGGCAGGCTGTGGAGTGTAAAGCCACCGAAAATCACACCGTACAGAGCACTCACATTTTTAGCCACATATGGTTTGTGATAACGAAAACCTGCACAACCTACCGTAACTTAAAAACAAAGTAGGTTTATTGAATACAGCCTATGGAAATATATAGCTTTTGATTTGTCTTAAATAATGCAAATGGCTTTATGAAACCTGATTCGTCTCAAATGTTAGTGGCTGTCTGATTCACTAATAGCAACATCAAAAACTCAGCGTTTCATTTGCAAAGTAACAATAATGATCGTATTCCCTATAAAGCGTTTTATTTATTTTACACCTGGACACAATATCAATGATTTGAATTCCCCAAAATAAAAGAGCCAAATATGAAGGTGACTTGTTGTCCTTTGATGAACTTGTAGCCAGCAGGCATGAACACAGAGGCACAATGAGGCCATCTACTGGATGCAAGATTGTGGGAGATTATATGTTAGTGTGGGAGCCGAGGGAGTGTGCATTAACGTCACCTCAATAAACATGACTGAACAACTCTGAATTAGATCTGAGTCCCACGAGCAACTGCAGCAGGAGGAGTCGCGGACCCATGTAGATAGAGAGACAGTGAGTGTCGAGGTGTGTGTGTGTGTGTGTGTGTGTGTGTGTGTGTGTGTGTGTGTGTGTGTGTGTGTGTGGGTGTGTGTGTGTGTGTGGTGTGTGTGTGTGTGTGTGTGTGTGTGTGTGTGTGTGTGTGTGTGTGTGTGTGTGGTGTGTGTGTGTGTGTGTGTGTGTGTGTGTGTGTGTGTGTGTGTGTGTGTGTGTGTGTAAGATGGCTAATGCTATCATGCCGTTAGCTGCCTGGCGAGCCTGGCGGGCCTGGCCAGTTTGAATATTAACTATTTACAAGATGAAATTATCAATGGACTGTGTGTGTGTGTGTGTGTGTGTGTGTGTGTGTGTGTGTGTGTGTGTGTGTGTGTGTGTGTGTGTGCGCATGTGTGTGACTGCATGCATGTGCATCTCTGACTGAGCATTTCTGTGTTTGCGGATGTGTACACATGTATTTGTTTTAGTTGTGTTATGTATGTGTGTGTGTGTGTGTGTGTGTGTGTGTGTGTGTGTGTTGTGTGTGTGTGTGTGTGTGTGTGTGTGTGTGTGTGTGTGTGTGTGTGTGTGTGTGTGTGTGTGTGTGTGTGTGTGTGTGTGTGTGTGTGTGTGTGTGTGTGTGAGTAATGCATGTAGACATGCCAAGTGTAAGAGGCCTGGCAGACACAACGCCCACATTTCCCATTTCCCTGTAGCACAGAGCAAGGGTGTGCGTGCAGTAGACAAAGTTCAAACCAAGACTACATCACACACAAAAAAACACACACATCTTGCTCACTCACTCACTAACACATGCACACACAACCAGCCATGCAGGGTAATTTATGTCTGCTCCAAAAAGCAAACAAAATAGAATGGAATGGGAAAGAATAGGAAAGTCTTTTTGGGATTACTTTTTGCCACATTCATATCAGATGTTTAATTTGTCATTCAATCTTTATAAACATGATTTTATATTCACTTTTCAATCTATGCTTTTCCATGTGGGAGCCTACATTTTTAAAAAAAGAAAAATGAAAACAATAGCTCCCCTTAGTCTATTGACTTTGTGCACCGAAATTCAAATCAGCATACGTCTCTAAGATGAATTAAGGTCTCCGTGATGCATTTGAAATGAGCAGCAAGAGTCCTCTAACACATGCTGGTTTAATTCAAATTAATTCAGAAAGTTTGCTAATGAACTGGAGTGACAAAACTTTGTGTAACTTTACATGACACCCAGAGAGTGTGGCAGCTGGCATGCTGACAGGAAGTTAAGAGACTCTACCATTCTGTCAGGACCTGTCAGTTATTCCAACTGGCAATGAATCAGAACAGATAACTTGGAAACTCTTCAGTTTTCTCACTGGATGGTACCCGCTGATCTCTGTGGAATAAATGCTGCCATCTTTAAATGTCCAGGAATTAAGCCTAAACCCTTTCTAATCTTAAAATATGACCACAAGCAGGGATAAGAGCCAATATGGGAATGCCAAAGATGTTTTGCATCTGCAAGGGAAAGTTTAAAGATTAATTATTCGCGCTTACCACACGTTTCATCATCCCACACTTGAATATTAAATACGTTTTGGACAGCTGTGATCTACGGATACGCAAATAGATTTATATTAATGCTTTCTTTAACCCTTAGATGCACGAGTGACTGGACCCTACTCTTCCATAAGTGGGTTAAAAAGGACCCGTATTAGAATATGTGTTTTTATGCCATTTTTGTCATTTTGGTTAAGAACAATTACTTGTATAATATTTATATTTTGGTTCACACTAGAAATATTTTATATTTAAGTTTTCACTATTTATCATTTTAGACATTTTTTTTACATTTTGAAAAAAAAAACGAAATTCCATAGAAAATGCATACGGGTCATTTTTGATCCACTTATGGAAGCTTGGGGTAGTACTACAAAAACTAAAATGTCTTCAAATGTACATTTGAATGGCATGATATCCAAAACATGTTTTTTGAGGAATAGCTGGAATATGAAATGATACAAAAATGTAATTACAAAAATACTCTAAGAAAACCACCTCACCGGGTCAAAAAAGACCCACTTATGCATCTAAGGGTTAAGGATAACTGCTGTCATAAGGTGTGTGTTGAGCCAAGATGCATTATTCAGCAGTGCACACATTAATATATAGACATTTGTATTTATAAAGTGTATTCCTTTAAACAAGCTGGTTTCCTGTAACACCATATTTAAAGGACATTTCTGAGTGTGTCTACCAAATGTTTGGTGGCTTCCTTCATTTCAAATTCACATCTGGTGCAGATAATTTACAGTAGCTTATGTTGGAACCAATTAAAATGATAGCCTTTTATGACATTTACCAGAGGCAGCCTTCATTACTCATTAGCTGGAGCATTTTTTGTTTCATTTACAATAAGTGGGGCAATTACGTAAAAACAACACTGAATACTAATATAAGCTTCCAGGCTGTATACGGATCTGCCTATACATTCTATACAAGATCAGCCTAAGTGTGTGAAAAGGCTGTGGCCTTTCAATTCTATCCTTTGTGCAAACTATAATCTTATAATCTGAGTCTTAATAAGATGCTTTAATTGTTATGCATGCATCTTGAGTGATACTTGCTGTAACAAATGCAAATGTCCCCTCTCGAATAAAGGTATTCTGATTCTGATCACTATTTATTAACGTTTTGGACCCTTTGGAGATTTCTCAACAAGTATAATGTCATTTGTACACCATCTACAGTATCATACATATACAACAATCCACTCTGTGTGCACAGGTGTCTCTCAATAATTGGCAGCATCAGAGTTTAATCTGCTACATTGCAATTCACATTTATGATGAATATAATTAGCGTTGTTGATTTCTATAACCAAAGACAAGAGAGTAATTCAACCAAAACATACAGTCAGAAGCATTTTGGCATACACAAAGTAGTTTATGAAAACAAAACCAGTTTACACTTCCCTCATGATTGCTGTCAGCATAGATCGTCTTTAAGAGGTACATGGGTGTTCTTTGTGATAAACAAAATCAAATTTACAGTGAACACTGTTAATAAAACATCAGTGGAAATGTATTAGACTTTTACCAAGGTGATCGCTGTAAGATGAGACAATTGATCAAGCCCAGCATTAGATCATTCTCTTTTTGTCGCTGCTTTTAATTGAACTATTCATATCTTAGACTGCACTGTAACTTTTATCCATGTATTTTTTCTTTTAATGTTTCTTTTATTAGCTTTTCTTTTTAATGACAGATTTTAAATGCCATTTTCTTAATGTCTTTCATTTTTTGTAAAGCACTTTGAATTGCCTTGTGTTGAAAAGTGCTATATAAATAAACTTGCCTTGCCTTGCCTTGCCTTGCCTTGCCTTGCCTTGCCTTGCCTTGCCTTGCCTCGCCTCGCCTCGCCTCGCCTCGCCTCGCCTCGCCTCGCCTCGCCTCGCCTCGCCTCGCCTCGCCTCGCCTCGCCTCGCCTCGCCTCGCCTCGCCTCGCCTCGCCTCGCCTCTGTGAAACAACCAAATGAAAACAGCATTAGGAAACAAAAACTGTCCGATATTACAGTCATGCTTTTCTAATGTTTTACTGACATGTTGCAGAGCGAGTGTGTGTGTGTGTGTGTGTGTGTGTGTGTGTGTGTGTGGTGTGTGTGTGTGTGTGTGTGTGTGTGTGTGTGTGTGTGTGTGTGTGTGTGTGTGTGTGTGTGTGGGTGTGTGTGTGTGTGTGTGTGTGTGTGTGTTGTGTGTGTGTGTGTGTGTGACATCTGACACACACACACACACACACACACACACACCAAACACAATGACTATGAAACACCTTACATGACATTCAACCCGATTGTCCTCATTATGGTAATCTTAGGTGAGGTAATCAAAACCTATTGTATGATCTGTATGCACCATCACTTGTATTGTGGTTCCTTGCAGTGTGTGGAATCTTTTTATGTGATTGCTGCTTCTAAAATGACCTCTTAGTGATCCCATCGAACACATTCTTGATTGCTTGAATTCTCTCCGAGCGGAAAAAAATGCTATTAGTTTACAATACGTAAGATACTGCGGAAGGGATAGCGTGTAAACACTTTTCTTCATTAGTTGTGGTATTAAGATGGCATAGTCATGTCAAGTCATCGGGAGTGAACAATTCTACTTGATAAAATAAACTTTAAGAGTCAGACTTTACATTTAGATGTTTAATTTTCTTTTTAAAAGAACCTCTGTACTTTGGCGAAGCAATTTATTACGTGGTTCCTTTCCTATATGAGTTTAATCTCTGCAGTTACCAGTTATGCACATACTCACATCCTCCCGGCAAGCACTCCTGGTCTTATCTCCCTTCCTTTTCTCATCCTCCCTTGTCTCTTC